ATTATATATAAATCATCAAAGAAAGGTAAATACAGTGTTTGAATAAATGACATAATTTTATACATCGTGTAGCATAGCTCTCAACAAATGTAGTCCTGTAAATAAATGAATAAGGAAATTGTGTAATAAAATTCCTCTGGCGGGACTCGAACCTGCGACCTCTTGCTGTCAAGGCGAGCTTCATAACCATTAGACCACGGAGGCTTCATGGTTGAACAGATTCAAATACCACCAGATACACTCCATTACACAATAGGTACGGCTAGAAACAAATGGTTGCATACATAATATAAATCATGATAGCCGTTAACACTGTTAAATTATATATAAATCATCAAAGAAAGGTAAATACAGTGTTCGAATAAAGGACATAATAATACATTGTGTAGCATAGCTCTCAACGAATGTAGTCCTGTAAATAAATGAATAAAGAAATTGTGTAATAAAATGCCACTGGCGGGACTCAAACCTGCGACCTCTCGCTGTCAAGGCGAGCGTCATAACCATTAGACCACGGAGGCTTCATGGTTGAACAGATTCAAATACCACCAGATACACTCCATTACACAATAGGTATGGCTAGAAACAAATGGTTGCATACATAATATAAATCAAGATAGACGTTAACACTGTTAAATTATATATAAATCATCAAAGAAAGGTAAATACAGTGTTCGAATAAAGGACATAAGAATACATCGTGTAGCATAGCTCTCAACGAATGTAGTCCTGTAAATAAATGAATAAAGAAATTGTGTAATAAAATGCCACTGGCGGGACTCAAACCTGCGACCTGTGGTGGTATTTCAAAAGCTAAATCATATTTACGTTTAATAAAAACAACATTTATTGATTGAATGTACGTTTTTTTTGTACCAATGTTCGGTGGGGTTTCCCAAAGATGGGCGTGGCCCGCCCATCGGCACAGTGCCACGCCCACTGGCTTCCATTTTGGACGACCTATACCATTTTTCTGGCTAAACCCCTGCTGTTAGACAATTTATGAACGATTCCCACAGTTTTAAAAATTTTAACCTGTGATTCTCTCTTTCATTCGTTATTAATTCGATCAACTATTAAACAAACAAACAAATTATAAGTTTCCCCTGTCCTTCATTTCACATTCGTAACCAAACACCCTCTCATCAGATTTGATAAGGCCATTATTTTTACCAATACAAAACTCATTAATTTCAATCCAGAGGTGACGGAACTAGGGGGTGTTGCATTATGGAGAGTAATGTGTGACCGGAAATGGTCTGCAGTCAGTTGGTTGTTACCATGCACCAGTGATGTTGGAGTACAGCAAGATGAAACTATTTAATGCATGAATAAAGTTCGGGGTTTGTCGGGTAGTGAAATGATTATTGTACATTTTAAGAGCTCCCTCCATGCATAAGTTTAAGCTAAATTACGGTGATGTAATTGTACATATATATTTAAATAATCAATTTGTAATAACAATTTTCATGTATATAGATTTATAATTATTTATTAATGTATATAGATTGAAGTGATTTGATAGGCCTAAAGTTTGGTGTTTATTTTGTGTGTGATTTGATGTTTCTTCTTGTATTTATATTTATTTTTTTTTCTATTGTAAACTAAAAAGTATTTCAACCTTTGTTGCATTTTGAGTATTTTATACCAAATAAATAAAAAAATAAATAAAAAAGAATCAGAAGCTGCAGCTTTAATGTTAACATCATCACAATTTAGCATTTCAATAGCAAATGCAAGCTTCTTTGCAAGATAAGTTTTTACAGGGTCAGTTACACCAAATCCACCTTCTCCCAATGGAATGAATATAATATCAACATTTGATGATTTATTCAGACCAAGCCAATTACGTACATATTCAACAATTTCTTTTACTATGTCTTTAAGTTTAACAATTTTCCCACGTAATTTAAAAATTTAAAATTTTAACTTTCATTTTAATGACTGTTATCCGTTTTGAAGTCTTATTTTATTTGTATTTTATGTCTTGTATATAATATATAGATTTATTTTATGTTGGAATTACTGACTCCTGAGTTATAGAGACTTTTGTCGCTTTAGTTTTTTCTGACCATTTGTTTTATTGTTTGTTCTAATTCTTGTACAGTATTTTTTTGGTCGAATAAATAAATGAAATGAAATGAAGTACATACAGGTATTAGCATAATAAAAGCTCAATTTTGAATTTACCATTGCGTTAATAGCTTGTAATTTAGCTGCGGTTGGCAGAGGGGAACTATCAATATTCGCTAACATTACTATTACATTATTTATGATATCCTCCCTTTGTTCCAGATCTTTGACCATGATGCAGACCACATTTTCTGTGGTTTATCTCCATACATGAAGATTCCAAATACTCATCAGTAATAATACTAGTTACGTAATTTAATCCTTCTTCATGCTCAGTTATAATTACAATATCATCAACATATGCTTGTATTGAAACTGGAATTCTGCTACTTAATGTATCAACCGCTCGAACCCATCTATCTAAACATTGTTCAAATACGATTATTGACCATGGACACCCTTGGATTATATCCTTATGTCTTGTTATGGTTTCACTTAAGCCCTTCTTAGTCATAACCTGGTATGTCGATTTATCATAAACAAATTTAGTTAACATATATATCTGTCTCTTATACACATCTAGATGTGTATAAGAGACAGGGTCTGAACCTATAATAATAATTGCACCTGGTGATGTTAAACAATCCTCAATCCAATGTCACATCAAAAAATTGAACGTAAACCACTATAATAATTTCTCAATGATAATTTCTTACAAGCCATAGTATACTCTCATAACCCAATTCCCGGTTACATCGCCTAGTATACATCTCATGGTTTGAAGTATATCAAATCTAATCTCAGTAAATACTCAATTCATAGCAGCATAACTTTGATTAAACATCAAAGTATGATCATTAATTTCTTATAAATTAACATATCAACAAAATGCATCTCGACCTCAATCAACCTAGAATGAACCACACTATTCTATGCATAACCATAATAATCTCATATACAGTACTCTAAACCTCAGCATAATCATAATCATACACATACAATTTATAGGACAATAACAATACCTGCAATGCACTCTCGTTGGTAACGTGGTTATAGAACTATGAAAAATAATGTTAAATAAACAATTTAACAATTAACAATTGTTAACAATTTGTTAACCGCTTCCAGAACTAATACTTTGGGATATGATTAATGAGACATTAAACTGTTGATCTAAAGTGAAAAACAAATTTGGGTTTTTTAGCAATTTTTTGAGCTCCCATATTTTATAGCTCATTTACTCAGTACTGGACTGTGCGACAACTTAACCATTTTGCCACAACATGCCTCTAATGAGTTAAACATCGTTAACCGTATAAATTCTAGTCTTAGCAATGAATTTAACAACTATAACATCATGATAAACTTGTAGTGCAAGACACAAATACCGTCTTAACACCTGAATAACGTTACATTAATTTAACAATCAACAGTACAGAATTTCATGAGTTTGATCGTAAAATCAGCTTCTTCAATCAGGTCCTCAAAGACAGAATCACAGCATGTCTCATCTCAATCAAAAGGCGTCGATCAACCGCCTTGTTTCAGACAAGACGTGCGTAAACCGCAGAACGCGCAACACAACAAATTCGCTGACTCACCGTGAGGCAGAGTGAATTATATCAATACATTAATAAAAATAGTTTGTAAAAATAAAAATTTTAAAACATCAATTCTAATTTCCAACATTACAAAACAATTTTTTCTACAGAAATAGAGGGGGAGTACGCCCCTTACATCCCTCTAAGTCTGCAACTGCATAACATCATCACACTCATTGGTATAATGATACTGCATACCTCCTATTGTAGAGAATTATATATCATTATACTGGATACAAAATAATATTTTATGCTGGGTAACCATGAACCATGGTATAACCAGAAAAGCGGGTACTGGGGATAACGACTTACAGGGGCGGATCTAGTTCAGGCTTTTTTTTCATAAACTTTCTCATTCTTTTTACAGTAAATAGGCTTATTTATGTGTGTATACGTACATTTAAAAATATTGAGTTGCTTACGTATTCTTTTTTCCATGAATGCATAACCCCAAAAAAAGAGGAAGGGGGGGGGGTCCGGCCCCCGGGAAAATTTTGATCACTAGATGGCAGGAAATGAGCTTTCCCGACTTCTGAGGTGACTTTTAAGTTCTTCAAATTTTTAGGTTTTCCTCCGCTTGAAAACGGTCCGGTAAACTTCTCATTCTTATTACTGTAAATACTAGTAGCCCTACTATGTGTGTATGTACAGTACATAACAAAAATTGAGTCGCTGCATACATATTCTTTTTTCGATAAATCGATGAACCCCAAATAAGACGGTGGTCGGGGGTCCTCCCCAGGAAAATTTTGGTTCTT